TTGTGGAAAAATATGTATTTCTTAGTAATTACAGTGTACATATAATGTACATATTATTGGCAGTAGATACCAAATATAAATACAAAATGATATGATTGAATTTTTTTATTTTTTATTTTAAGTAATTAGTTGATATCTTTAAATAGCTTACTACATGATTTTAACACTAAAAATTAGTTCAAAAACACACTAAATCATTGCATACGGTCTAGATTTTCTTTTATACTAATGCAAATATCACCTGGGGCTCTATCCTTCATCCCACTTTTTTAATTTTTATTAATGACCTTTCCGATGGCATTGGCTCTCACCTTGGTATCTATGCTGATGGCACAACCATTTGCTTTTGCTCAAAATGGCAGCTGATAGCCAAAATGATCTTCAATCTGTTGTTAACTGGGACAGAGAATAGCTTGTTAGTTTTAACGCCTCCAAAACTAAGCTGCTTTCTTTTAATCATCTGACCATTTTCTGCCTTCCATTGGCTGATGTTAACCTCCAGGAGAGTGAATCATTCCACCTTCTCAAGCTAACATTCTCAGGTGACATGAAGCAAAAGAATATATTGAATGCATTGCTAAGAAAATTGGTTCACTGTTTTGTGCTAGACAATTTTTCTAACCAGAATCTATCTTACATATCTATAAGTCTACCATTCATCCATGCTTAGAATACTGCTGCCACATATGGTGCTCCTGCTTTATATTTAGAGATTATTGATAAAATACAAAGAAGAATCAGCAATATTATTGGTTCTGACCTGGCATCTCAGCTTCAGTCACTTTCTCATTACTGTAAAGTTGCATCTCTGTCTCTTTTCTATAAAAAATTTCATGGGAAATGTTTGGATGAGCTCTTCACTATGGTACCTAGATTTCATGACTTTAAGTGCATTGGCAACAAGGTCTCATCAATTTGCAGTTAAATTTCTTGCTTGCGGAACTCTTTTCCAGCTCCATGCTTCCTGGACAACTTTGATCTTCAAAATTGCAATGTCAATTATTATCCAACCTCATCCTGATTACTCTTCAATTGTTCTTGCTCCTTCATAATGTTTTCTGTTTTCAAATTCTTTCACAACCAGTAACCCCCCTTGTGTCTCAGTAGATTTACTGTATTGCTTGGGGCGAAATTGATTAAATAAAAAAAAAAGTATATGCATACAACAAGGATCATTGAATTCCATAGCATCTAATAGAAACAAAACAAACTTCTTTTTTCTTTTAAATAAAATAGCATAAAAAACTACTATTATGGAGAAAATAACTAGAAGGAATTTTAATAAATGATTAACATAAATACACACACAAATATATATACATACACACACACACACACACACATACATATATATATATATATATATATATATATATATATACTCAAAAAGGTTCTATGAGGTGTATATTTATGCAACAATATTATCATTAAATTTTTTATTAAAAAGTAAACAAAACAGCAATTTTTATTAACAAATAACTTGCCTACAAAAACGCCTGATAATTATGCACCAGCCCAATAATTATAACAAAGTTATTGGTTAGGGTTGACTTAGATCAGGAAACAGTAGTATTAAAAAGTGCTCAATATGCGTATAAAGAAAATAAAATAAAAATTTAACATGTAGACCTTCTAGATTTAAAAATTAAGAGATCAGCCGATCATGCTACCTTGGTTTCTACCTTTTTGTTTCTTCTATAACTAGAAGGAATTTTAATAAATGATTAACATAAATACACACACACACACACATGCATATATATATATATATATATATATATATATATATATATATATATATACACACATACATGTACACAAAAAAGGCTCTATGAGATGTGTGTATGCAACAATATTATCATTAAATACCATAGTATCTCATAGAAAAAAAAACAGGCCTTTTTTTTAAGATACCATAAAAACCTACTATTATGGAGAAAGTAACTGAAAGGAGTATTAATAAATAATTAACATAAATACACACACACACATACACACACATATAGATACACACACACACACACATATATATATATATGTATACGTATATATATATATATATATACACACACATGTACTCAAAAAAGGCTCTATGAGGTGAATATGTATGCAACAATATTATCATTAAATTCCATAGTATCTCATAGAAAAAAAACAGGCCTTTTTTTTAAGATACCATAAAAACCTACTATTATGGAGAAAGTAACTGAAAAGAGTATTAATAAATGATCATAAATAGTCACCATATACAACTGTTCCTGTTACCCATATTCATAAAATGCCAGATCTAAACATTTGTGGATGTAACCTCGTATTACACATTTTCTTCCAACATTCATCATGTTTAACTTACATTTAAAATATATGAATACAATTTTTAATACAAACATAAATTATTAACATCTCAAGAACTGAACATACAGAGATGCCATAAGGTACATCATGATGTTCACACAGCCAATAAAAAAAAAAAATAAAACTCATTTAAAAATTGAATTATAACTCTGCATTATTTCACTTCAAAAATATTTTCTGATGAAGTTAAATAAATATTGAAACATTAAATTTATGAAAATTTTTATACTTATTTGGTAATTAATATATTTGATAAAA